ACAAAGGATATGAAGCGGACGTGAGATAGTCTATTCTATTGAAAATAAAATTAATATAAAACTATTCTTGATTTTGCTGCCTAAGGCAGTTGCCTACCTCGCCTATCCGCTAAAGCAGGGTTTGATTCCAACTGGTAATTTAAAACTAGCTTTTATAAGTATAATTCTCATGAACCGATCATGTAAGTACGAATAAAATGTCAAAATCATAAGTTGGTGACCTTTTGATGTTTCGTGTGATAACAAAATGAATGTTTTAATTTTTGGTTCTTGCATATCGGCCCGGCATGGCCAGGTGGTTAGGACGCTCGACTCGCAATCTGCGGGTTCGCATCCCCATCCCACCAAACATGCTCGCCCTTTCAGCCGTGGGGGCGTTATAATGTTACGGTCAATCCCACTATTCGTTGGTAAAAGAGTAGCCCAAGAGTTGGCGGTGGGTGGTGATGACTAGCTGCCGTCCCTCTAGTCTTACACTGCTAAATTAGGGACGGCTAGCGCAGATAGCCCTCGTGTAGCTTTGCGCGCAATTCAAAACAAACAAACAAACAATTCTTGCACATTTCCTTACAAGATGATTTCTCAGCTAGTTATTTATGTAATACAGATATTTACAGCACAATAAAAATATATTTTGTGTCAGCTATTTGTGTCATTTCAATTGTTGTTTAACCTTTTTTAAGTGGAGATACTACAGAACTATAGGGTGTCCGAAAAGTCTGGAACCATAGGCACCTCAAACGAATTTTACAGAATATGTTCCCCATGCCATCCTTGTAATTTGAAACAAGTTTGGATTAACAGTGGGATTAACTCGACCTTCTCATGCTTTGACAGTACCATATTTAGTCACTGCAAGTCACTTAAGGATGGTTCCAGACTTTTCGGACACCATCTACATAGATCTTGAAATAATTGATAACTACGCATTAAACGTCCTCAGTGGTTCAGAGGTAAGCTTAACGACTTATAACTCTAAAAGTCGGGGTTCGATATTTGCAACGAACACGGAGTAGATTGTGTATATTTACACTAAAACAAACATGTAAAATTTAATCAAAGCACGTTTTGTAATTTTGATGTTTAACCATGTAGGTATAAATACTATATGTAGGTAACAGTGTTGTGAATAATAACAATAGCTTCATATAATTACCAATAAGTTGAGCTAATGATACTATCATTCTTTATGAATGAGAATAAGTCCATAAGACAAGTAGAATAAAACCCCTCTCATATAATCAGTGACACGTATTGTTTGTTAATTTGCCCCCAGTAGCTCAGCAGAAAGTCTGAGGGTCTATAAGGTTAAAATCCGGGTTTCGATACCGTCGAAAACAGAACCCATTGTGTAGCCTTGTGCTTAAAACAAACAAATAAACTTTTGTTAATCATTGGAGAATTTTGTAAAAGGAATAAACATTAGATAGTAACGATTTTAACAAGCGAATTATGTGAAATAAGGTTCAAGTTTGTTATTCCATTAAAAAAAAAAAACTGCTGATCGATTCAAGGACATAAAACAGGGAGTTACACTGAGGCACCACAAAGAAAGCGCCTTGAGGCATATACACTTCTTGATCGTTGAATGGTTGTTTCCAAGGTCTGGTTATAAGCCCAGCTTGCTGGAGTTGATATTTGCTACAACGTGATTGTTTTACTTGAGAGAGAGAGATGCCAAGAGCTCATACAGTAGATTAAAATGTGCAGTTTTTATCTAATATTTTGCTTAGTTTGTTGTGCGTTTGGAGCTCCTACAGAAAACACTTGGAGTATAACTGACAACGAAAACTCAACTAAAGGATATCAACAATTTATAACTATACAGAACTTACTAAAAGACAATATGGCTAATGCAGAATGGTCGCATCCCGAAAAGATCTCAGATAACCGAAAATTATCTTTGTTTACTACTGATAGTTCTAAACAATCAAATAATACTTATTCAATAAATGTGTCTAAATCTAGCACTGTCTCAACGAGCAGGCCTCGGAACGTCAGAACAACATCAAAAATATCAGTAGGAACAAGAGGTACAACAGAGCACCCTTTTGAAGAAAATGTTAATGTTTCAGAAACGGCTAGTGAAATGTCGCTGAATCCACTAAGCGCCTTTAAAACTACAACGATAGAATCCATGAAAATTTCTACTGATCCTCCTCAAGCATCAATAGCCCTCAATGCCCTTCAGGAGTTTTCACAGACATTTGAAAACCTCAAAAACAGAAGTCGACGATTACTTTTGTCTGTGATAAAACAGATTTTGCCATCATTGGTTCGTTACAGTTCCCAGGTTACACTTTCAGGAGATTGCACTGCAAGTATTTTCCAGATCCTTTTTGGCTTACGAAGACTAGATGATTGGGCTCTCAAACGTAAGTACTTTTTTTTGTGAGTTTTAACAATTTACATAATGAATCTACTATTTCAGAATGTCAGATGTTTAGTTTGCTTCCAGGTGATAATAATAAAATTATTTGTATAGTAGTTGATTTCAGTTGTTTGTATAGTAGTTGATTTCAGTTGTTTGTATAGTAGTGTATATCAAATGTTTGTGTAGTAGTTCATTTCAAAGTACTTTTTTTTTCCTCCTAGGGTAAACGAACAGGTTTGTATAATGATAAATATATTAAGTTTTAGGTGCTACTAAGTGTTGTGAGAATTAAGAAGGTATTGTGCTTATTCACCTAGAAATTTGTTACGTTTCTTCTCCTAGCAGATAATACTTCTGTAGATTACAATTAACAATATCAATTACTTATACACACACATATATATAAGCTTTTTTTATAGTTATAGACGCCTCTGGCAAGGTCCCTAGTGGCTTTCTTCATGGAACAGTCGCAGAGTTCGGTGATTATGAGGAATGTCATGACATTATGGCAACAAACAATCGAGGAAAAAATCTGTTTCAAGGCCAATACTGTGCTGTTGATGTCCAGCCATTCTTACCTCGCCATTTTGAGTACCATGTCTACACAACTAACAAAACGGTGAGATTTTTTACACAATGTAATGTGTATTATAAAACAGGAGTTCCCAAACCTTTTAGCTGGAGAACCCTCGAGATTTTAAAGACCCTCATGTAATGATTTAATAAAAATTACAAGTAACAGCCACTTTGAGTGTCTTACTTTCTTTGCAACTTATTCTTTGAGCAAAGTGTCTCAAGTACTAACAGCGTCGTAGTCATATTTACTGCAATAAATCAATTTGTCGCTGAGACTACTGCTTTTACCCGATGTCAAGGAAATTTTATAGATAATAGTTCTATACATGCTGAGGGCCCCTGAGACTGTCTCATAGGCCTCCGTTAGTCCGAAGATCCCAGTTTGGGAAACTGTTATAAGAAAGAGTAGTGGACATTACTTCTGTAATAAACAAAACGGACTTGCATCAAACGTAACATACACTTTCTTAATTCAATTTTGGCGTATTGTGTATAGTTAAATATCACCTCAATGCAAATTCAGTTGCAATAGTCTATCGTGTCTTAAAAAGTACTTTTCTTTTAGTTGTGATTTGTGTATATGCACACAGCTATGCCGTCTTTAACAGCGAGAGATATTTTGAGGTTATCATAACTTTGCAGATATATCTAGCAGTCACGTTTTATACATATAATTGGAAATATGAAATCGTTTGCGTTATGGAAAAGTACAAATCTGTTAATAATAAGCTTGCTGCTCGGTTTGTATTGCACAGCCATACGGTACAGTGGGTAAAGCCATACGGTACAGGTATGAGGTCATACGGTACACATAAGGTCAAAATATTTTATAGCCATATACATACACCTCTTTCAACAACAACAACAAAAAAAGTTTGCCAAAATAGTCATGACACGTGGAAAGTCATGTGATTTTGGAATTCTTAGCTCAAGCAAGCCGCCCCTTTAAGTATGGGAGTTTAAGTATGGATTGTTTAATTTTCTTTTGTCGAACAATATCGTTCTAATACAGGGATTCCCAACCTTTTTGTTCCTCTGTACCCCTTTGACATTCAACTGATTTGTAACGAGGGTGTTCTATATTGTTTATGTTCTACATTACTTATTGAAAACGTGAGTTATAATGTAGCACAGCAATAACATCATAACGTTTACCATGATCACAACTTTTTGTCTAAATTTCGCTAACCCTGTTGAAGAAAAGATGCAAACCAGTATGACTGGTAAAAACCCAATAAGCGTTAATATTAAATAAGTTTTAATGTTAAAATGTAGACAACCGGTTTTGATAAATTTCCTACGCAGTCAATGAAACATGAATTAACTTTATAACCGCCGAGTAAATAAATGATAATTTGTTAAAAATTCAGACATATTATGTACGAGAAACGTACTTAACATTGTAGATTATAACATATATTAACACCAAGTAATAGGACTACAAGGACATCGAGCTTCTTACATGAATTCCTGTGTCAAACTTCATGAATATGCTTGTGTTCTTTTATTTAGTTACACTTTCTCTTAACACAATGTTTACAACGTGTAGGATCCTGAACGAATCGTGGGATTTAAACAATCACAATAAAATCGGCATAATTCTTTATATATTAGAACAGACATTCCCAACCTGGGGTACATGTACCCCCAGGGGTACATTTGCACTTCTCAGGGGGTACACATTGGGGTCTGAGAGTATAGCCATGGTTTACCCTTTACATGATGTTTTAATCTACAGTAAAAAAAAAGAGAGTAAAGTGGCTCACATAAATATACACTCTTTAGTAATTGTAAAAAGCGCCATTTAAAATTATTGAACCACGTTTATTAAGGAAGAAACAAAGTTGCTCCTTTTTTTTTTCTTCTTTTTAAGAAATCAAAGAACCAGAGCCTGGAATTGCAAAAACAGCACAAAGAAAATTTGATTCTTTCGTGTATATTTGACAAAATTTACCCAATGATGATAACCATAATTTTTGTTTCACATAAATCTATCCATAACTGCATATATTGTATCTCACATGATAGTTATCCATATATTTTTATCCTAGTCTTACCAAAAGTTGAGCTAAAAATTGAAAATCTTATTTTAAGTTACATAGTGAAATATTCAAAATAGTTCAAATGTAACTGGTGTTTCCATGCCGCACAATGGAATTAAGAGTATGTATTATGAATAATTTCTAATTGCATATTATATAACTTATTCGCTTTAGCCTAAAAGATCTCAAACTATGTATTGACATGGGTTGTATTTTTCATGATTTCGTAGCTACATGAAATAGAAGAAATGCTGGCATATATGTATCGAATTAAATTTCGCCTTGGGTTTTGTGTGCCGTCCAAATGTGGTCTAGAAGACGTTCGTAGGATTGCTGAGAAAGGTATAAGTTCTTCATTTTTTTATTTCAGGTACTATATAACAAACTAGTGATACCCAGTCTTGGTTTTCCATTAAGCTAATTAAAGTTATTAGTTTCAAAATCGTTCCTGGTTAATGCTTAAATCTGAGTGTTTAGCTTTAGAAATATGTAATATTACTCTGTTTTGCTAATACGGGAAGACTATATAACTTGTTTTCACTATATTCGCTGAGTTAAGGTGCAGAAACATTGTCCGTAGATTTATATAGCTGGAAACTACATATTGTTACGACAGCGGAAGTCGCGCGACGCTGGGAGCATGCGCTGGAGTTCTAGAAAGATGGAGGAACCTGTCGAACGTCCTAGCGTTTGCTAGATACGCCCTCTATTTTGATATATAAGACCTGCGAGAAGTGACGATAGAGATAGATAATTGCAGACAGACAGAGACGGACAAATG